AGCTGAAATCTTTTTCTTACCGTAGCCGATACCATACACCATCGAAACCATCAGAACAGCTACCAGTGCTAGCCTTCGATTTGATCTTAGCATAATGTGGCGAAACATGTGAGGTGACTTGGCATTTGCCCAGTTCCGAGTCCCGTGAAAGTAAGAACAATGGTTTCAATTTCGATTGAATAACTCGACCGATCACAGTCGTGTTAACCAGTTCTGCTTTGTTGCCGCGATTACAAAACCAGTAAAGTTTAGCTCATGTCCCACCTCAAAGATAAAAAAAAAATCTCTGATGCTGTAATCCAACAAGTTGCTTACGGGAAACATTTCTTTGAATAAAGGAGTCACCAACTTCGCATTCATTTGAAAAAAAGCCAGTGTCCATACAGTCATTGAAAATGGTCCTTCATGATGCTGTATCGTTTTCAGAATCGACAGAAAACTATATCTAGCCCCATGGTTCTTTTTCAAACTTAGACGACTTCAAAGTTTGCATACAGTACTGACCGTGAACGCTTTCTTGGGGAAAATGTATTGGAGGGCCGATGTTAGGATTTGGTATCGTTTCTCAAAGGTAATATTTGCACTATTAAGATTAGATTGAATGTCACAAATGATTTGTATCGCATAAATCATACTTACTTATCAACCATAATCATCAGGTCCAATAAATGTGGAAAAAAACATAAGGAACCTTTGTCATTTCAGATCTAGACGCCGACAATTCTTTTGTTTCTTTCTCAATCTTTATCGTGGAAATATTTCGAGTTCCTCCTCATTTGTGCTAAATTAGCTTATCTAGTTTTCATTTCTTGCACGGGTTTTCAATTCTTAATTATACATTCAATATCGTCGTTTGCATTATTTGTTTGTTTCATTTGGCACGTGCTTGCACTGATCACAAATTAGTTATATTGTTATCATAGACTGCGTTCCGGCCTCTCGAGATATTAATATATTACCATTCTATTGATCCGAAACCCATATGGGAATAGTTTGGGAATGCATGTTGTTTTGAGAAGAACATGTTCATCCCTAATTTCCCAAGATAAATGTCTTTTTTCATATATCCCATAAAGCTGCGAAGTTTGGTTTAAAATGATGAAATACAACAGAAGCTCAACGAGGTCGTGTCTAAAATGGTCGCGTTTAGATGACATTGATACATGTCATGTTAGTATATTCAAGAAGTTTAGAACAGAGCCAATACATTGTGTATCTCTGTTTTGATATATATTTTGTAAAGGGGAAATTGATCATCGGGATGAAAACATGGACTTCCATGATACATATTTACACGATTTGTAACTAATATAAAACAAAATACCCCCTGAGACTTTTTTTATATCATTAAGCAAGACGTGTGCACCCCCTGCATACTATTGGATAAAAAGCATTTGGGAAAAGTGAATTGTTAGTAGTGTGGCGCCTTCGGTGCGCCAACGACATTCAAGAACAAAAGCAGATATAAAAAATGACACCAACTCTCCTCAGACCCGACCTTTAAGCCACAAGTACTGATCAAAAGTGTAATTCAGTAAATAAAAAAAACTTCATTAACGAGTTTCGAAAATCATACGGAAGCATAATCTTTCGGAAGATTTTCTCATCATCGTCATCATTATCGTCATCATCGTGATCATCATCATCATTATCATTAATTATAATTTAATCTTTAGCGCAAACGCTAAACATTATACCCAAAATGTTCCCAGTTACCTTACCTAGGGCTGCCAACCCCCTTTCAACCCACTTCTTTTTATTTAATTATCTTTGTAATGAAAGTTATTATCCGACTTTTCTTTAAATGGTAATCTTGGCTTCAGGTGTGAGTGCTTTCCTTATGTTGTAGAGCATTTTCAAGGATTGATATTTCGAGTATTTTTAGGTTAACCTTGTGTTTTATTAAGTCTCGCCTTTTCGCCCCTACGTGCTATTTTGGTAGATCTATAGTTTTGATCATTTATTTTCAGTGTGTGCTTGAACTTGTCTCAGTGCTTACCGTGCTAGACATTTTGGTCGCTTGTTATGGTCAAGGATAACTAGTTTGCTAGGTGGTCATGTTTGGGTTGGTAAAACTGACCTTGAGTTTTACCCACACTGAATATCCTGTTTTGGAAATTCCCACGGTCAGCTAACCCAAACATGTCTGTGATTTTTACATTAAATGAGAGGGCACTCCTCGCTGAAGTCAAAAGAAGAGAAATGGCTGTGGTAGTAGAAGGTAGTAGCAACAATAGAAGAGAAGAGAATAAAAGAAGAAAAGTATACAATCTCGGTACCTCTTGTTAATTCGCCAAGCGAGTGAAAAAAACCCCACAACACTTATCACAGAACTCACTCAACGGATCAACCCTAAAACTCACAATATGTACCATCGCCTTCAAATGGCTCAATCATAGCATTTTAGCTCGTTACGACAAAGGCTAGGCTTTTCTCTGCGTAAAAGACAATTTTTCACTGACGATTACAGTGGTTAATCTATCTATAAAAGTTACCTCAGAAATTACCTCAGCCTTAGAATTAAAGTTGCAGCATAGAGAAGAAGCTTGCCAACCACACAACTCAAGATAAACTATATATCTCTGAGGCTACAGCCGAAACACAGTCACTGTGATCGAGAGACACTGCACTTAACACGCAATTAAAAATAGCATCCTATTGGATACACCTCTCCTCTCACTTAGCACATAATACATATATCTTATTAGACGTTTTGTTGTGTAGTATCGCTGAGTATTTTTACGAGTTGTGCCGTATTTTTGATGAGCCCGTAGGGCGAGACAAAATACAAATAACGAGTAAAAATACTCAGCGATACTGTTTCGTTGAGAGAAGTATATAATTAGATATGAGTCATAATTGATTGACAATTAATTTCCTTTTTCATTAAGTTTATGATACACTTGGGATTAGTAACTTCGTAAGATCGCGCAACGTGTTAAAAGTTCATTTTTAGAAGGAATCTTTCCGTGCTGAATTGTTCTCTCACTGACCGGCGTTTCATATGATTTTGCCAACCGGATGCCCAATTGAACGACCACCCCCCCATGTTTACGAGTGATTAGGAATAATCTGCTGGATATCGTCACAGAAGTAAGTGGTCGATGATATGCGATTAATCACTGTAGTTCGCTTATGTTGTAGTTTGCCCTTTAGTTTGCCCTATCCAGTATTATGCAACGTTTTCCTTACTAGATCGAATAAACCCAGAAATCATTTATACGGTTTGCGTCATCCAGTGGATTAATAAGCCCCTTTTTCTCCCCGGATCAGACATTACACAACAAAACGTCTAATAAGTTATTTATTATCCAACACGCCAAACTATTATTTCAGTGCGGGCGAATTTCGCGGATATTTATTTACTGGGAGTGCGTGACAGAAGTATGCGAAGCCGAACGGAATTGGCGCGTTGTTGTGTTACTGTTACTATTTTCTTCATTAAATGAAGCAATTTTCTGGTCGTCAAGCTGTTTTTCTTTGTTCGATTCATCTAATGAGCTTGGATCTATATTTGCCAGCCATTCTGACTCTTCGTCGTCGGAAATATGATTCAAATTGTCTGCCAGTCTGCCACTTTTTTTTTTTTTCGTAACTACAATCCAATTCTTCGCTTGCGCGATGCGAGAAAACCTTTTTAACCGGTACTACAATAGACGAGTACAAATACCGCGTGATATTTGTACTCGTCTATGGCGTTATTTGTACTCGTCTAGGTGTAGTTGGATAATAAAAAGCAATATTTTAACCATTGTATTTAACCAATATTTTAACGTGGTTACCCTGTTTCTGTCGTTCAAGCGGGTTACCACCGCGCCCAACTTATTGATCGACATTCAGCACTACAAACGTCGCATAAGGAAGATTCCGACCGCATTCCATTCACTCTCACGTTTCACCCTCACAACCACTCAGTTAAATCCATCATTCTTAAAAACTTTAAATTACTTCAAAACGATCCAGAGACAAGCACTATCTTTTCGCAGCCTCCGCTCGTTTCATTCAAATGCGACAAAAAGATAGGCAATATTTTGGTCAGAAGTTCTTTTCAGACTAATGACCAACCAGGCACTTTTAAATGCGCTCGTGCACGATGCAAAACGTGTCCTTTCATTCACAACACTGATAAAATATTGGGACCTAAACGATCCATTAAGATCACCGATCACTTCACGTGCACCTCCGCCAATCTAATCTATTGCATAACTTGCACTTATTGCAAAAAGATATACATCGGCAAAACAGGCAGAAGACTAGGTGACCGATTCCGAGAACACCTTCGAGAAGTGGAAAAGAATGACAAGGACACATCGAAACCAGTCGCTAGACATTTTAATTTACCTAATCATTCTAAGCAACATATGGCAATCTGCGGTCTTTCCTTACACTTAGGTAGCACGGAAAGCCGTAAAACTCTTGAACAAAAGCTCATCTTTCAAACCGGCAGTCTAAATCCCACAGGGATCAACGAACGCTTTTCATTCCACTAATTTATTCGTGTTTTTCTCGTTGCCATGTTCCCACCAATAACGAAGCTCCATTTTCTGCCTTTAAAAGCACACACAACCCACAATTCCACGATTCGCTCCGACGAAGGGCTAACGCTCGAAACGTCAGCTTTTGTAATCGTTACGGTGGTTTGTTGATACATCCAAAATATTTTAACCAGCCACACTTCTCTACTACAATACAATACCTTGTTAGATATACGGATTGCAAAGTTATCACGAGTTTACATCCGATCCAGGACCCAAATAACGTTTTTCCTTATCTTTGGATACAATGAATATATGAAGTTCATATATTTTGAACTGCGGTATAAGATATGTATGATGCACGATCCTCGCAATAGAGAGCGCTATTTATGCAATAGCGAAAATCAGACCTGAAAAAATTCAGGCCTGTACGGGATTCGAACCACTGACCTCTGCGATACTAGTGCAGCGCTCTACCAATTGAGCTAACAAGCCAACCGGGAGCAGGCCGTTAAGTTGATTCGCAATAAACCCGTGATGATAAATCAGATACAATAAATATATGAAGTTCATATATTTTGAACTGCGGTATAAGATACGTAAGTTGGCTTGTTAGCTCAATTGGTAGAGCGCTGTACTAGTATCGCAGAGGTCAGTGGTTCGAATCCCGTACAGGCCTGATTTTTTTCAGGTCTGATTTTCGCTATTGCATAAATAGCGCTCTCTACTGCGAGGATCGTGCATCATAAGTTTCCTTATCTTTACTAGTAAGGATTTTGCTGACATAATTTCCTGATTGCAAGGTCGTTTCTTTCAGCGTATGTGATGAAATATAGCGAACAATGCTATGACGAAGTTCACCGGCTTAAATTGATTTAAATTCCTTTTCTAAAGAGTAGGAAATACCAACCCAAAGAAGGGAGCATAATTTACTCTCTACAGGTGCTAACGGGTCCTTGCTGTATACAGCTATTCGACTTTTCAGACAAAGGGAAAAAAACCTGCGGTCGATAAACAGACCATTTGTTTTCGTTCGTTCATTCCTTATCCATAAGTCGCCACGTGGGCAATACAGAGGCGTTATATAATGGAC